TATGAGGCAAGATGCTTGGTACATATAATAGAACCCCCCCCCCCCCCCCCCCACCTCGTTGCGGTGGAGAACTCCGAAGTCCGCGTATCGCAGGGGAAGCTCTCGCCACGACTTCACCCCCTGGGAGAACATGATGCAGTGCCCCGGGCAGTTCATCGGCTTGAGGCCTGTTGGTTGTCGTTGTCGACGTCATCATCGTTGACAGCAGACAGCCACGACGCGTCGAGTGGGACAAAGACGGGGAGTAGGAAAAGAACAATCAGAAACCCAAAACATGAAAAAAAAAAATCTGACGCGCCATGCACCAGTAGTGTAAGCATGCATGCATGCGTGCATGCAATCATGTTCTTTTCATTCTTCCTTGTTGTTGTAGGGGGTTTACAAGGCTGCGGGCAGCACGTCAATCGAGCGGAATACATCGTAGTTACGGGAAAAAAAACAAAAAGTCCATGACCCTAGATGAAGCACGAATATCATATTTGGTCGTAATTTAGGACTTCAAGTAGGACTCACCGAACTCCTGCCCCTCCACAGGGAAGCGGAACATGGCGTCCTTGTAGTGCGCCGCGTGGCCGGACTGCTCCCACAAGTCCATGTTGTACATGTTCGGCGTCGTCACCTCCTCGTAGCCCCTCTTCCAGTACTCCTGAGAATACATACAAGGGAGACGCACACACCGTACAAACCGTGAAAAAAACTCGCTGACGGTGTTTTCTTGTACATATATAGGTGATGTTGACGGTGGTGTATATTTACACTATCAGCCGGTGTCACAGGAGTAAGATTCACACACATTTTTATTTACACTATCATCCGGTGTCACAGGAGTAAGATTCACACACATTTTTTTTTTTTTAGTCTACACGTCCACTCGGCGGATAGATATTCTTGGCGTTTCACACCGCTTTTAATGGCTCCACAATGCTGCAAAAAAAGCTGCATTTCTGCAACTTTTCTTGCAGCTTTGCTAATGTACGCTCAGGAGGATAGGAGCCAAAAGTTGCACGAAAAGTTCTGCAACTTTTTTTCCGGAGCGAAAAGCTGCGATCTGGCCGAAAAGTCTTGCAGCTTTTCTCGCCGTCGTTTCTCGAGTCGGGAAGGGGCGAGAAAAGCTACACGGCGGAAACTATACCAGTTCACGCCAAGCTGCTACCCCTTTACCGCACACGTAGACCCTCTCCAGCGTCGATTGTGGGAAGGCTGTGATCACCGATATGTCGACGAATACTTAACGGGTTGCCTCATGAATGGTATCTGGAAGGAGGTGATACCATGGGCTGTTGGGCAATGCCAAGGTTTGGGGCCGTGAGGTGCCGAATGCGCCGGGAAAAAAAATTGTGCTGTGCACAACCGTCAACGGCCGCGAGCGGTTAGTTCAAGCTCGATGTTTTTGACCGCCACGGGTTTGGTTATCCACCGATAACTTTCCGAAGGAGGAAGCAACAGCAATAGCAAGGCCGCTCGGTGGGAGATAGCTCTCTGCTCCATCTTTCATGCCCAAGGTTTGGTGCCGTGGGGAATCGTGCGCATCGGGAAAAAAGTTTTGATCGACCCCAAATTACCCACGTCAGAGAGCAGTTGGTCCAAGTTCGCAGGGATAATGTGCGCATGTTTTGGTTTTCCAGCGATAACTTTTCGAAGGAGAAGGCAACAGGAACAGCAATGCCACCCCGAGGGAGCTAGATCTACCCAGCATCTTTCTGGTACCAGGTTAGATGCCTTGGGGTATCGTGAGTGTGGAGAAAAAAGGTTGCAACTACCCTCTCCCGCACGCTGTGACCGGTTCTCTCGCGGTGCAATATGAAAGGCGCGTGCCTTCTTTCGCCGTTGCTAATAAAAAAAAAGATCACGCCTTCGCAATCCGCCAGTCCCGTTCACAAAACTTTCTTCGTCCCATAATGAGCGCGCACAAAAAGGGTTATTGACAAAGTTCCCGAGCAAAGTTGCAGAAAAAGTTTGCAACTTTTCTTGCAGCATTGTGGAGCCAGAAAAAGCGGTGTCAGCCATATTTTTTCCCCGCCACACAGGATCTTTTTATTGCTAATTTTCCGCACCTTTTGGATACAGATGTGAACATCTCCATGGTCCGTCTCCATTGGTTTCCAACAGAACGCGTAGTATCTACACGACGCGGGTGAGCTAGCAAATCACTTTGCACGCCCGCCCTCGATCCTAAAAATAAAACACAAAATGACTAATACCCGATCGAGATATAATATAACCTCAGTTCTCGAAGGTAATTACTTCTGTTCAAGTCTTCGCGGTGAGTGGGGGCAAGAACATGAGGCAACCGAGGGCAAGCAGCAAACTCACCGAGCGGATGAACTCCATGAGCCTGTTGTAGATCCGCGTGCCGTGGGGGAGGAAGAACGCCGAGCCGGGAGACAGGGGATGGAAGAAGAAGAGGTCCTGCTGGACACCCACCCGCCGGTGATCTCTCTTCTTCGCCTGATTGATGGGTGGGCGTTTCCACAAGAATCGCCCCGGGGGGGCAGGCAGACACCGGTGAGATATTACGAGAGTCGGTGTTGCGGAAAAAAATACTACAGCACTTGTAGTTGCAGTCTTCCTCGAAAAACCAAATAAACGAAAAACGACATAAAAAATAATTAAAAAAAGCACATAAACAAGGTCAGGCAGGTAGGCAGACACCAGTCATACGCTGCGAAAGTCCGTGTTGCGGTAGAACACACGTTGATTATAGCGATGGGAGGCCTACAGGTGGGGGACGGCATACCACCATACCTGGTACGCTGTTCTTTCGTTCAAGGCGACATAATCACTACCTGGTATCAACGACTACAGCAACAACAACAACAATAGCAACATACAAGACGACGACGACTAGGATGCCACATCACCTGCTCTTGGAACTCGTTGAACTTCTTCATCTGGTCTTTCGAAGGGAACGCCACTCCGTACACGCGCTGGAGGGGGTCGTTCGTCACCTGTGTGTGTGTGTTTTCCAGGCAAACGCGTGTGTGTGTTGTGTGCGTGTGTTCGCCCTACCATGGTGACAGTCCCCCCATTTTTCGTGGTGAGACGTGTACTACACTCTTCAGTGCATTTTTCGTACAACTACAACAGGGCCACACGTGTGCGTACGTTGTCGAAAGCAGGCCACCCGCAAACAGTACCTAGCCTGCCCGATATTGAGAGAGAAAATTGGTCCACGCAAACCGCTGTATGTCTGAGCGGGCAGCAGAAACTGAACGGGATGAAAAAAAAAGCACTCCATTCCACCAAAAAAAAAACACTCTCATCTTTTTGCGCCAATTTTTCATCAACTAAATAGGTCCTCCCGCCTTCCTTGCCCCGTCATCCTCTCACCCGAGCGCCAAAATAGCACTACTGTACACCCGAAAAATAAACCATCTAGAACCATCTAGAACACCCCGCGCCTTGATCGAAAAACCATGGCATGCGCAACACCCATACCATACAACAAAACCCCAGCTGTGTCCTCTTCTCTTGGGCCACACAGTGAAAGGATGTTCTAACCAACCGCTAGGGTTAGCGTTAGGGTTAGGGTTAGGGTTAGGGTTAGCGTTAGGGTAAGGGTAAGGGTTAGGGTACACACGGAGTACGCCCACCTTCCCCAGCCAGTTGGTCGAGGACGTCCTGATGGAGTTGAAGGCCTGGATCATCGTCGAGTAGGGGACGTGGGGCCCCCGGCAAAGGTCTACGAAATCTCCGTTACGGTACACGGTGGTGCTGCCCCCATCCGGTATTCTCGTGTTGATGTACTCCCTGAGGGGGCAGGAGGCGTTACATTGGCGATTGTTCCATACGAAACTGTCAGGAGATCGGCGACAAGTAAATGTTCTCGTGTTCATGTACTGCCTGAGGAGGCCGGAGGCACTTTTTTCTTGTCGATGCACACGAAACTGTTCGGAAATGGGCGATAAATATTTTTTTCTCGTGTTGATGTCCTCCCCGAGGATATTTTTTTCGTTGGACGTTAAATTACACAAAATCATATGCTTCTCTTCTCGTGTTACGTACTCCTCAGGCGTTCGTTTCTTTGTTGGTCGGTGCATACGAAACTGTCAGGAAATCGGTGACAAATAATGCTCTCGTGTTTACGTACTCCATGAGGCAGATTCTCCTGACAGTTTCGTATGTACCGACCAACAAACAACGCCGGCAGAGACGTTGTTCTTGTCGTTACACCCGAAGGCGGTCGGTAGGGAAATCGGCGAAAAAAATTAACTCCCCGACCGGATAAGGGATGCTTTGTTGAGTTGCTCATATACAAGACGGCGCGCCAGGGACATTCAGAGGGCAAGGCAGTGTGTTAGCCGGCACGCGGGCGACGGCATATGTAGGGGAGGGACGCTGTTAGAAAATATGCATGGAATCACAGGTATGATTCCACGTCCGAGGAATAATCATTGCAGTCGAAGGGAGATTGTGTTGAAGTCTTCGTGGTAGCTGGGCTTGCAAAACCGCAACAACGGCATCAACAGCGGTTGTCATCAGGATCAAGAGCTGGCGCGCGGCATCAACGGCCTGAGAGAAAGCGTTCGCCAAAAAGAAAAGCCGTAGACTGCAATAGAGCAGAAAAACAATATGCTACTCCTTGCTTCTTCTTCACTTGTTGACAGCACCGTTCAAGTCGGAAAGGTCAAGGGGACAACAGCCAAAGCAGATGTACACGAGACTACTGTACATAGACTCTTAAGCCCCTTGGGCTTTCTGATCTCACTCACTTCTTGAAAGCGTTGTAGTCGAACATGTCCAGGGCCTCCTCCTTCGTGAGCACGAGTCTGTCGAACGTCTGCTTAGCCTTGCAGCACCTCGTGACCTCCTTGTCAAGGTCCTTCAGGTCCTTCTCGCCTACCGCGCTGCACAGTAGTGAAAACAAAAAAAACACATTCGACCCACCAGCGGTGAACACAGACAGCAGTGATCGAAGTAAAGAACTGGCACCAAGTACCGCGCTGCCCAGCAACAAAAAAAAAAGCACCCAACCATAACGGTTGCTTGGAATACATTACAACACACCGATACACAAGCGGCAGACACAGCGTTGCAAGAGCTGGCACGAAGTTAGCCAGGGCGTACAACTCTTGATCTAAGAGTGTTCCATAGACATAATAGTCGAACTAGAGTTAAGGAACATGTGGAGTACAAGGAGCACGATGCTCCTTTACATCAAGGGAAATATTAATACTCGACCTCAAGCAGAAGGACTCCACCTTAATAAATCTGATACGACTGTATTCTACATTTGCAACAACAACAACAGTAACAACAACAACAAGAGGCCGCCCCGAGTAGTACAACCAACAGCCGTCATGCAGTCCGGCCAAAACATGACATTGAGGCCTTATCACCAAGCCCAACGAGAGACAGAGGGTGTCCCCCCCCCCCCGCTTGCTATTTCTCGCTCACCTGCCCCCCATGTAGCAGTCGTAAAAAAATCCGTTGTCGACAGGGGGTCCGTGGGTGAGGTGGCAGCCCAACTTCTTTTCCAACGCGAACCCCAGGCAGTGCGCCGAGGAGTGCCAGAATACCGTCTGCCGATCCCCCCCCCCCAAACAAACGAACAAAAAATGTGCGCAAGCTTTATTGTGAGACAGGACTCCGAAGAAGGAGGGCTTTCAGAAGTTGACAAACACGCCCCCCCCCCCCCCCCCCGGGAAAAAAAAAAGGTTAAAAAACCCCCCGCTACCCACAGGGGAAATTGACCTCCCCCAACCGGGGCCACCCCGACCTCCCCCGCAAAAACCAAAACCGCTTAAGTTTCCAAAT